GAGCGGAGCTGGCACCCAGGGCGTGTCGGGGCGGCGACAGTGGGGAGCAACCCAGGACGAGGCGAAGCCGCAGCACCCCCGGCCCCGGTAGGACTTGGGGGCCTGGGGACCCACAGAGGAGCAGCTGCTTTTCCGGGCTGTTTACTGAAGGCACCCCTGTCCCGGGTTGCAGTGGTCCCGCTCGGGCTCCTCTAGAACCCCGCAAACAGAGGACCTAGCAACCGGGCGCCCGGGCGGTGCCCCTGGGCGGTGCCCTCCCGAGAGATGCCAGGGATGCATCCGCGGGGCCCCGTGGCGCCAGTTCAGGGCGCTCATCTGACCGCAAAACAGAGCATCTGAAGTCATTGAAGGGGCTCCTCTCGTCTTTTATACCAGCACTTCGGGGAGCAAAGAATACAAGGCTATCCCAGGCAGCTGGAAAGTTAGGAAATAAAAGCCAGCGCGGCTCCATCCTTTGTAGATAGAGCCTGGGAAGTCAGGGACAGGGGTGACTCCCAGAGTTACTGCTCAGAAAACGCTGAGCCACAGTCGTTTGGAGAAATGTAGATGTAGGAAACCATTGTAGCATACAGATCTATAAAAGATGGGTAAATACATTTTAAAATATTTGAGGTTCTTTGTTCTCCATTTCAGAATTAGTGTCTTGGGAATTGGGGTGGAATGATGTCCTTATCGGAAATGAACTGGACAGAACTGGAGCAAGTCCCCGCACTGTCATCCCTTGGATTTCTGTGAAAGCACTTTTGTGGTCCCTGCCCCAGGCTATCCGTGTTCATTTCAGACCGGGATACAGATGAAAACAAATGTATAGTTTTTGTTATAGATGGGGGGGGGGGGGGGGGGGGAGGCTCAGGTAAAGGGAGAGACAACAGTGTTGGCAACTACCTATAAAATATAACTTAAGGGAGCAAAGAAAAAGACCCTTTATGTGTCTCCCAAACCATACAAAATTTCACATAAAAAAAAGCCATTTTCTCTGGATAAAGATTTTGTCCTCTTTTGAGTAAATAATATATAACTTAAGGGAGCAAAGAAAAAGACTCTTTATGTGTCTCCCAAATTATACAAAATTTCACATAAAAAAAAAGCCATTTTCCCTGGATAAAGATTTTGTCCTCTTTTGAGTAAATTAACATAATGTTAACAGAAACTGAGCACTTATTATACGCCAAACACTGCACTGAGAGTATTTCCAGTTTTATTCCTTTATTTATTCTTCTATAAACTCCTGTGGAACTGATAATATTGTCACTATTTTTTATAGAGGGAATCTAGGTTAAGGGCGTTTGCTGTTGTGGGTTTACATCTCAGGTTGAGTGGCAGAGCAGCCATTGCCATCTGGAATGTTTGGCTAGTTCCTTTCCACCAGAAAACCTCTGGGAAACATACAAAAAGCCTGCTCATGCCCATGATTGGCACTTGAATGTTTATTCTCCCTTTGTGGAAACTAGGTTTCACGGTGCAGACAGGGACCCTTAAGTATCTAAGGTGAACATCACCCTTAGGCCAGAAATAGGGATCAGAAGGAAGAGACTGGGGTTCACTCACAGCTAGCCTAGAAAGGTCAATGTGAAACATGCACTGGTAGGGTCACATGAGGGTGAGGAGGAATTCCTCATTACCTTTTTGTTAATCATTTTCACTATCATTTACAGTAGATTGCACTTTACACTTAAACTAATATTACCATATTAGATATTATACTTTACACTGTTGTTCTTCCAGTTCCGGAGTTTTTAAATGGACCTGATATCATATGCCTTACCAGAATTTAGAGAAGTAATGGGGCCTTAATAACTTAAGGGAAGCTTTTTGGAAAATATAAAAGTAAATTAAATTGTTACCCTATGTTGTGCCATTGTTATTATGTTAACTTTTATTATTAATGTTTGCACCCAGTGCAACAGAAGTCCCCAGGGCTCCATGTTGTTGAAGAGCGGAGCACTAAATTCCCAGGGAAGCCAAGCAGCTGTAACTCTCCGCCAGAATGGCATCAGCCTCAGAAATGTGTGATTCATCCCTCCATGTACAGTAGTCTCATTTTCAAAGGAGACAACAAAGGAACAGAATTGGAATAGGTAGACAAGATGGCATTGGAATTAGTATTCTCTGTCTGTTGACAGGGATATAAGGAAAAAGGATAAAGTCTTGGTGGTCCACCTGAGACCAAGCTGAGATTGAGAACCTGATCAGTGAGAAACCCTGATAGACTGGTGACATCTCCAGACATCTCTGTGTATAAGTTGACTTTACTAGAGGGCATGTTTCTGAGCAAAGTGTCACTCGTTTAAAAAAAATTATATAGGTTTCAGGTGTACAATTCTCTGATACATCATCTGTATATGGTATTGTGTGTTCACCACCCCAAATCATCTCCTTCCATCACCGTTTATCCTGCCTCCCCTTTCTATGTCCCCTTACCCTCTTTTCTTTATTTTGTAAGTAATTTCCTGCTGTTCCTATTTTGCTTCCAGTTTTCCTTGACATGAATTGCTTGGCCTTTATCTGATGTCTTTTCCCCCTCCCCCACTGATAATGGTTAGGCTGTTTTCCCTTTAATTTTTAATGTAATCAATATATAGATAGACTTTCTGGAAAGGAACTGCCCTTTCATTCCTCTAATACAGCCTGTTTTGTCATAGTGTATTACTCTTCCAATGCATTTCTCTGTTGTATCCTCTAATGCATTGTGTAAACATTTGGCATTCATAGATATAGGTGAAATTGGCCTGCATCTTTAATTGTTGTTGTTGCATTTCTTCTTTGGCTTTGGTATCTGAGGTATTCTGGTTTCATAAAATTAACTCAAGAGCTTTCTATCTTTTTCTAAGACCCACAGTAGTTTAAATAACATTGGAATTATCTGTTCTTTAATGGTTAGATTAAAAATTCAACTGTGAATCCATCTGCCTGCTGCTTTTTCAATAGGAAATCATTTATCACTTCTCCAGTCTCTTCTATAATAATTGGTGTATTCAAGTTTTCACTAATTCTGGGCCATTTGTGATAATGTATGTTTTGCTAGGGAAGTATTTATTTCTTCTAGGTTTTATTAGTTTATGTACTCTCCAGAGTCATCTTTAGTATTTACTTGGAATTCTTTTAATCCTTTTCCTGCTTTTACAATGTTAATCTTATCTAATTTTTATTTCATTCTCTTTTCATAATCAGGCTCACATGGTATTTATCTATTTTTATTGGTCTTTTGAAAGAATCAGTCTTTGAATTTATTATTCTTTTCTGCTATTTCATCTATTTTAATAATTTCAACTTTTTTAAATATATATTTTATTGATTTTTTACAGAGAGGAAGGGATAGAGATAGAGAGTTAGAAACATCGATGAGAGAGAAATATCGATCAGCTGCCTCCTGCACACCCCCTATTGGGGATGTGCCCACAGCCCAGGTACATGCCCTTGACCGGAATCAAACCTGGGACCCTTCAGTCCGCAGGCCGACACTCCACCCACTGAGCCAAACCGGTTTCAGCAATAATTTCAACTTTTATCAATATTAATTACCCCTTCAGAGTTTCTTTTGTTTTGTTTTTGTTCTTACTGAATTTTTTTAAATTAAGATAAACACTTAATTCCTTTATTTTTACCTTTTTGCTTCCACATTTTCCTGTGAGTTATTTTGCTGTTCCCCATTGTTTTAGTATAAAATGTTTGGTTTTCCAATGTTTCCGGGTATTTCCATATTTCTCCTTGCTATGGTCTGATTGTTTGTCACCCCTCCTCCCCAAATTCATATGTTGAAATCCTAACCTCCTAGAGATGATGGTATTAGGATGTGGAGCCTTTGGGAGGTGCTTGGGTTGTGAGGTAGAACTGGCATTACTGGGATTAGTGGCTTTATAAAAGTGGCTCCAGAAAGGCCCCTAGCTCCTTCCACCAGGCAAGGACACAATGAGAAGAGCCTGTTGTGAACCAGGAAGAGGATCTTTACCAGAGATGACCATATTGGTGTCTTGACCTAGGACTTCTAGCCTCCAGATCTATGAGAAATACATTTCTGTTGTTTATAAATTACTCAATCTGTGATATTTTGTTATAATAGCCCCAAAGGGCTAAGACACTTCTGTAATTTTCCCTTTCACACAAGACTTATCTCATGTGTTTCTTAATTTCCAATTAACTTTATTGGATTATGATGAAAGAATGTAATCTGTAAACTCTCTACTTCTTTGAATTTGTTAAGGTTTCCTTTTTGGCCAAGAACATAATTCATTTTTGTAAAAGTCTTATGGAAATATATAAAAATATATGTTATTATATATAATACTAGAGGCCCAGTGCACAGATTCCCTGTCACAATCTGGGACCCCTCAGGGGATGTCAGAGAGCCAGTTTCGGCTTGATCCCGCTGGCCAGGCTGAGGGACCCAACCGGTACACAAATTCCCGCAGGCCAGGCCTCTGGTATGCAAATAAGATCTTTGGTTAATCTCTTCCTAACCTCTCCCTTACCCCCTTCCCTCTAAGATTCATCAGTCTGTTCCATGTTTCCACGCCTGTGCATTGAGCATCTGCCCCTTGGTGGTCATTGCATGTCATACTTATTAGACAGTCAGATGGTTGGACTTGGATGGTCCCTTAGGCTTTTATATATAGAGATATTAATGTAAGTTCCCATTCGTACTGCTCCACTCCACCTCCTCATTAAGGAAGAGAAACTAGTATATTTCATCCCATTTGTGGACCCAAGTATCACAGATGTAAAAATTTTACTTCCAGGCCAATTCCTCAGGAAAACCCATTACATTTGCCAAGCAAAAAATGCAAAATTAAACTTGCAAACCTTTTGG